ATCAAAGAGTTTCCTGTGGTTTGGGACAGTTTTAGTTCAAGATTTTCATGACTTGTTTTCCCCTTATCCTTTCTAAGCTGAAGACCCTGCTCAGAGACACTGTCAATTCGCCGTGGAACGTGTTTTCTTCCTCTGATCTTACATAAGACATTCTCCTTAGATCTGGAGTTGGAGGGAGGAGATAAAAGGGGTGATGTCCAAGGAGGAGGAGCCTGTTTCAGGCAGGATCTTCTGTGCCAACCAGAGCCTCTGCCTTCAGCTCTGCAGACTGTGGACGGCTGAGCCAGGGAGAGTATGCCTCTGGGTGCCTGGCCAGAGCCCCAAAGAGAGGGCTCACCTCTCTGTTTTCACAGTACTTGTATATTCCTCTATGTTGGCAGTTTTCTTATATTAAAATGGGTATAATAATGCCTAACACACAATGTTATTGTAAGGAATAAATAAAATGGAAGGGTCTAGTATAGTGCCTGACATACAGTGGACACTAAATTAATGTTTGTTCAGTGTGAAGTACACTTGTCAGGTTACATTTGTTTACCTGTTTGTCTTCCCCACTGGACTCTGAATGTCTTACTCATTTTTATGTCTCCTCTACCTTCGACAGTGCCTGCCTGGAATACAGTAGACGCTAAATACATATTTTTTGATTAATTCATCAATTAATTAATATCTGTTCCTACCCTCACCCCAGCCCCATTTCCCTTGCTGGCCAAGAGTATAGTCTCTGCCCTCTCTCACTATGTTCTCTGGACCAAGGTTCTCAAACTCAAATTCTGGCCAAAAGTTGCTGGCCCCCAAATGGATGAAATGCCAGTACTCTACTTCCTAGAAATACTCAGCAAGTGCACTGAAAGGAAGAGATTAGGAAGCACAGACTCTGGGGGATGTTGGCATTTCTAAGTCTATTGCAGAAATGTGATACATTCAAATTAAAGCAAGAGTCCAAGGTACTGTTTATATCCAAAGTATTTTAAAGAGCAGAGAAGATCAGCTTTCCCAATACCCTTCAAGGAGAGAAAAATGGCATTCTAAAAGAAAGAAAGAGAGAGAGAGGATTGAGGAAGGAAGAAAGAAAGGGAAGACAGGAAGAAAAGAAGGAAGGGAGAGAGAGAGAGAATGAGAGAAAGGAAGGAAGGATGCAAGTAAGAATGAAAGAAAGAAAGAGAAGGGAGTAAAAGGAGGAAGCCTAGAAGAGTGGATTTAAAAACAGGCACATGGAAGGGCTGGCCCATGGAATAGTGGTTAAGTTTGTGTGCTCTGCTTCAGCAGCCCAGGGTTTGTGGGCCCAGATTCCAGGCGCGGACCTACACACTACTTGTGTGTCAAGCCATGCTGTGGCGGCATCCCAAGTATAGAAAAATAGAGGAAGATTGGCAAAGATGTTAACTCAGGGACAATCTTCCTCAAGTAAAAAGAGGAAGATTGGCAATAAATGTTAGCTCAGGGCCAATCTTCCCCACCAAAAACAAAACAACAACAAAAACAGGCACATGGAAATCCCAGTTAAGCATGGTCTACTGAACACATAATTTTATCCCTGCTCTCTCTTAAACCTCCACTAAAATGACAATGAATAGAGGAAAGGAGCATACATCCTCAAGGACGAAGAGAATGTGAAACTATCAATAACCAACAATAAATGTTAAACCTTTAAGAAACATAAAAGCTATGATAAGTGGAAACTAACCTACCATACCAGAAAAACCTAGACCTGCAATGATTGGAAGCCAACAAGAAACCAGATATGTTGCATCTCCAAACCCTAGACAGGCTCAGGGGTTAGGTGACCAGGAACTTTGAAGGGCGTGGCAGGGCAGGTGGTGGTTTGGGTGGGGCTGAAAACAGGAAGATTGGTTGAAAGCTTGCGTGGCGAGGAAGAAGACTGAGAGGTTGAACAAGAAAGGCTCAAGGCTTAGGATCTAAGATCCACCAGGGACAGAAATCAGACAATTCACTGACAACCAGGGGTGAATTCATCATTGAAAGCCTGTATACTAAACAGTAATGCCACCGCTCGTCCTCCATCCCCTTACCCATTTTGGCTGGAAGAATGCTGAAAAAGGCTTATACTTCCCCAATCCCCACCCGCACCCCCAGGCGGGAGTGTGGAGGGGTAATCTCCTCGGAGAGGTCCGCTCAAGGGAAAACCTCTACAGAATCAGGTGTTTGTCTCCCAGTACAACGGCTTTGGTGCAGCCCACCTGTCTTCAAACCCCACACGTGCTTAGCACTTTCAAATAGACTTTTAGTGCCTCACTCATGACTGTGAACCAACCATCAAGGACCATCAAATATTTGAGGGGATCCTCCAACATCAAAGGTGGATCGAGATAAACAAACAGGGAAAGAAGCGGGACTTGTAAGAAACAGAGACAATGCAGGGAGGGGAAAAAAAATTCCTGTCATACTGAGGTAAAAGAAGATACCGTGTTCATTTTTAAAATAATTATAATTTTTTTTAAATACCAAGATGCTCCTTAAAGAGAGCATTCAGAGAACAAGAAAGAAAGAAATGGAGATACAAATATTATCACAGGAAAAAATCCAATAGGAGAGTTGAAAGATAAACTTGAGGAAATTTACCAAAAAGTAACAGAGAAGGACAAGAAATTGAAAAGTAGGAAAGATGAAAACAATTAGATACAAAACCAGGAGGCTCAATATCTGCTAAATGAGAGTGTCAAAAAGAGAAAACAGAGAGGGCCAGCCTGGTGGCACAGCGGTTAAGTTCGAATGTTCCACTTCGGTGACCCGGGGTTGGCCGGTTGGATCCCGGGTGTGGACATGGCACCACTTGGCAAGCTATGCCATGGTAGGTGTCCCACATATAAAGTAGAAGAAGATGGGCATGGATGTTAGCTCAGGGCCAGTCTTCCTCAGCAAAAAGAGGAGAATTGGCAGCAGATGTTAGCTCAGGGCTAATCTTCCTCAACAAAAACCACAACAAAAAAGAGAAAACAGAGAAATTAATTCAAGGCAGAATCCCAGAACTGAAGTACGTCAGTTTCCACATTAAAAGGGCCAATGAGCGCCCAACACAGTGTCTCACACTGACACAGCACCGTGAAATTTCAGAACTTCAGATTTAGAGAGAAGATCCCAAAAGGTTCCAGACGGAAAGAAACAGGTCATGCACAAAGAAGTCAAGGAATCAGAGTGACATCAGGCTTCTGAACAGCAGTACTGGAATTTAAAGAATAAAGAGATCAAGGCCTTCAAAAAAGGAAAACGATTTATACTCTGGACTTCTATACTCAACCAAAGAATAAACTAATCATGAAGAAAGAATATAGGTATTTTTCAAGCACACGTTGTCTCAAAAAATTTACTTCCCATGCACCCATTTTCAAGAAGCTACTGGAAGATGCTCTCCTCCAAAACAAGAGAGGAGACAAACTAAGAAGGTCCCTGGAAGAGACAGGCCTAACAGAGGGGAGAGGAGGAGGGAATTCCCAGGATGAAGGTGAAGGGGGGCTTCAGAATAATAACTATGCATCAGACCGAGAGAAAAGGCAGTCCGGATCAGAGCTGGAGGACAGAGAAATTCCGGATCGCTGGGCCTTGGACACCTCCAAAGAAAAAAATAAGAAATTGAGAGATTACCTGACGTGTGTGTATATATTGGGAAGGATTTTATAATTCTTCATTCTTATTAATTATAAAATTAATATTTTATAATTTATAAAGTTGGAAGATGAATTCATGACAGATACATAGGAAAACCAATTAAACAACAATAACAACAGCAGGGGCCGGCCCGGTGGCACAGTGGTTAAGTGCACACGTTCCACTTCAGCGGCTGGGGTCAGCCCTTCCGGATCCCAAGTGTGGACATGGCACCACTCATCAAGCCATGCTGTGGTAGGAGTCCCACATATAAAGTAGAGGAAGATGGGCATGGATGTTAGGTCAGGGCCAGTCCTCCTCAGCAAAAAGAGGAGGATTGGCAGATGTTAGCTCAGGGCTGATCTTCCTCCAAAGATAAAAAATAAAAAATAAAAAATAAATAAAATAAATAAAACATTGAAAAAACAACAACAACAAAGAGGCAGTTACTAACTCTAGGAAAAACAAAAAGTTATATGGGAAGAAAAAGTAATTGCAGTGTGCTACAAGGCTCTTCTCTGAACAATGTTTATATAAATACTAATGTAAACATTAAACATTGATTTGATAAAAATTGTAACTAGAAGAGAGAATAGTATGGGAGCTAAAAATCTCATGTTCCATAGTAAGATGTACATAGAAGGAAAAATCAAAAACTAGCAGCGTAAGCATGATACAGGAAACTAAGAAGATAAAGAGCATTGAAAACCGCTGAGTTTAAAGTGATTGTCTCTCAGATGAGGGCAGCAATTGAAGCAAGGAGATGTTTTTCATTATAAGCCTTTAGCACTACTTGATTTTTTAAACTGTATGCATCTGTTGCTTCCATAATGATAATTTGAAACTCAACAAGACAGGCGTTCTGAGTTCTGGTCCTGGTTTTCTTCCTCCCAAGCTATAGGATCTGTTTCTTGTATGTCAATTGAGGGACGAATGACGCCCGGCTCCCTACTTCTCAAAGTGAGGTGATAATCAGAGACCAGGGGGTGGAGACCTCCAAACACCTTTCTTGTCCTCTGAACTCCTGGCATTTGATGTTGTCCCTTTTCCACAATAATTATAATATTTATTCAACCACTAGAGTAAATTGGAGGAGATTTGGGGACACCTTTATGGAGCTTGTGAGAAGTTTTTTTTTTTTTTTAAAGTTGATTTTTTTTTTTTTTAAAGATTTTATTTTTTCCTTTTTCTCCCCAAAGCCCCCCGGTACATAGTTGTGTATTCTTCGTTGTGGGTTCCTCTAGTTGTGGCATGTGGGACGCTGCCTCAGCATGGTCTGACGAGCAGTGCCATGTCCGCGCCCAGGATTCGAACCGACGAAACACTGGGCCGCCTGCAGCGGAGCGCGCGAACTTAACCACTCGGCCACGGGGCCAGCCCCTTGGGAGAAGTTTTTATTACATTTTCTTTTATATAAGATGATGATAAGATCCAAAGAGTAAGTGCAGCCTAGGGAAGCCGGTCTCTACCACCTGTTTGATAACGTCATGACCGTCCTTGTGTCCTAAATCTGATCAGATATTTTTGGCCTTTCTCCCCAAACCGTTGAAAACCTTCTGATGGTAGGGACCATAACTAACATGTTTCTTGTTTGTTTGGCTGGTGGGGTTTTTTGTTTCTGCATTCCCCACTGAGCATGACAGTGGCTTGATAACTCGCTGCTGAGCAAGCAGGGGGAGGCCTGTTCCTGTCTTGGTGAGCGGAGGAGGAGTGCACGTGTCCCTAAAGGGGACGTATTTATTGTAAAAGAAACTAAAAAGAGCAGGATGACCCTGGGGGATTTTGGTCAAAGAGCCTGATGCACTGCTCGAGTGGTTCTCTGTGCCACCCCTCTTTGTATTTTTTGCTGGTTGCTTGGGCCAGGTCCTTGACACATCACTGGATTAGGACCAGAAAACATCCAGACGTTAGCTATACTGTGCCTTTAAGATGCTGGGTGACCTTGAGAAAGTTAGAAATGATCGTTTAGCCTCATTTATTCTCCCTCCACCCCAATCCCCAGTAAAATAAAAAGATTGGACCAGCTGATTGCTACTGGCCCTTCTAGTGCTAAGATCATAGGAGTCATGACTGTTCACACATTAGAGGACACACTGACAGGGCTTCTGGGGGCCCCATGCTGCCCTGCGGAAAGGAACGGCCTGAATGATAATGGCCTTGTTAAATGTGGAGGAAAGGAGGAATAATAGACAGCACCAGGTGGCAGAGGGCGCAGCCAGGCAACAGATGTGAAAAGGGAAGTAAAATAATGTGCGCATAAACCGCAGGTGGAATAGTTCATGAAGAAAAGAGCATCTCCACCCAATTCACTCCAGGTCACCTTGGCAGGAAGGTGCCATTCACCTGCACAGTTTGTGCAAAGCTCAGTAATTCCAGAAACCGGGAACAACGTTATTTCCACCCGAGTCACTGATTTTGATGAGGATCACTGGTAACTATGTGAGGAAAAAAGCCAGTGAGCATCTGGTGCAAGGGCTGGGAGGGTGGAGGTGGGAGGAAGGGAAATCTGGAAAGCAGTTGAATAATTACCAGGGATGGAGAACTGGTTACAGTGTCTGCCCAGTCCGTGTGTACACTCCTCCACTTTGGAGAAGGCCCCTCCCCACACCGCAACTCTCCTGAGACATGCCCTTCTCCCTCCCCAGCTCTGGTTCCAGAGGGGAGTCTCCATGGTGGTTGTCAATGGACACCTGCTCCAATTTGAACCCATCATGGTGTCCCACCCATCTGGCTCAGTTGATTGGTCCAGGGATGAGTCTGTGACCTGAGTCTGGCCAATTAGTCAAATTATTTGGGATATTTCAAATTAGAGCTGGGTAAGAAAAAATTCCAGATCTTCTTGTGTGTGTCAAAGCTGGCGGTAGGCCAACCCATGGCTACTGGAGAAAGTTGATCTGAGATAATGAAGCCCCCAGGCAGGAAAAAGAAGAATATTAGGAGTTCTAGGGGCTGCTGAGCAGTCGGTTCCCTACAGCCCTAGGAGAGCTAACATGTGAGAAAGTAAAAACCCCATGTGAGGTTCTAGAAGCTTCTCATCGAAGCCCCCCTTTTCCTTAAGCTATGTTGCGTTATTTCTGTTGCGTGTGACTGAGTCCCACCTAATGCTCCAAATCTAATTGGCTTTTTAAAAATGCAGACCTTCTTATTTAATTTCAAATAAGTTCCTACAATTAGTAAAAATCCGTGATTTGAAATGCACTTTCTACCAGTTTTGGAGCCAGTCAAATAATTTTGGTTAGAAATAAATTGATGTCTAAGAATTTTCTGCACATTTGGTCTAGACTTTTGAACAATGAACCTCTCAGCAGTGAAATAACACAGTCAGGCAAACGTATGAGATGTGGAACAAGGGCATTATCTTGCTGTTTGTTTAACATAGTCATGTTTTTCAAGTTCACTATTTAAAGTGAACATTTGACTCTAAATGCTCTTGACGTGGCTGCTTCTTCTTTGGCTAAGCCTACCAGATAATCTGGGTTTGCCATTATGTGACATATGTGCATTATTTCCCTCCTGTGCCCACACTCAACACAGCTAACTGACCACGGGGTCCTCATCACCTCAGTCAGAGGCTCTCAATCTCACCACAGCCTTCCAGGCAGGTCACTGGTTGACCAGAGCTGGTAAATGAGTGAAATCTCTTCACCCTCCTTGAACTAGGCAGTTTCAATTCTGTCTTGCATTAAGCTCCTCAGTGGAATGCGTTCATGCATTTATTAATTCTTGAGTGCCTTCTTTGTGGCAGGCCCTGTTCTAGGTGCGTGGGACGCAGTGGTCAAGAAAACAGCCCCTGCCTCATGGAGGTCACGTGTACAAGGAAACAAACAGTGATGTAAGTGTGGCAAGTACTCTGAGTAAAATGGAATGAGAGCAGCAGAGAGTCACTGAGACCCAAGGTATGCTTAAAATATGGTGGTTAGGAAAGAACTCCCCTGAGGAGGTGACAGTTGAGCAGAGACCTGAACGGGGTTAAGACTGAGCTGTGACAAGATCTGGGGGAGGAGAGGTCCAGGTAAAGGGAACGCAAGTCAAAGGGCCTGTGTGGCACTGAGTTCTGCTCATTCAAGGAATAGCAGGAAGGCCCTTGTTGCTGGAGCCCAGTGTACACGGGGAAATGTGTAGGAGACAAGGTCAGAAAGATGGGCAGGGCCATGTCATGTGCCGATGTGGTAGGAGGTATGATCAGCAGCATTTCACATCTGAAACAATGAGTAGTTCACACCTGAGACAATGCATTGACGTTAAGAGTTTGGCTCTTTTGTTTTATCTTTTTGCAACCATATTTAAAAGTATAATTGGGTCTCATGGTGACTTTTCACTTCTCCCACCTGTGCCCCCAGCCACCCATTTCCTGTCCCCACAATCACCCTTGATGGCTTCTTGTGCATCCTTCCAGAGATATTTTATGCATCGGTAAGAATATTTGCATACATTTTTTTAACCTCCTATTTTACAGAAATGTTAACATACTATGTAAATTGTTCTTTACCTTGTAAGGAATTTTGGAAAACTAGGCTCACAATTAATCAGGAATTGAATAAAGATGGTAGAACATGCACTTTAGCCTCTCCCTCCCACCTCTCCAGAATTGTCAGAAAATGTACTAAAGGATTTGGGAATACTGTACTACTGACTCTAAAATATGGTCTGCTCAGCATTCGGTTTCAAAAGCCTTGTGAAATCTAAATTCAACCAGCAACATGTAGTCATAAACTCATTAGGCTACTTCCGCAGAGTCAATGACATTCTGTTTAGAAATGGTGCAAAGGGCAGAAAACTCAGGAAACTAGGCCTCAGCTTCTTCTGGCTTTGTCACCAAATTTCTCTATAACCTCAGGTAAACCACCTCACAATCTGAAAGAAGGAAGGAAGGGTGGGAGGGAGAGGACGTCAGTCTGGGCTTAGTCTTTCCTGAGAGTGGAAGTCTGTGTGTATGATAATAAACCAAAGAGAGAAACTCCGTGCCCTCATGCAGTCTACATTCCAGAGGATGAAAAAGACAATAAATGACATAAATAATTAAAATATATAGTACAGTCACATGTCGCTTAACGACAGGATACATTCCGAGAAATGAATTGTTAGCCTATTTTGTCATTGTGTGAACATCACAGAGTGCACTTACACAGACCTAGATGGTATAGCCTACGGCACACCTGGCTATATAGTGCTAATATGGGATCGCCAGCACATATGACGTCCGTCGTTGACTGAAACATTGTTATGTGGCGCATGACTGTATATTAAATAATAATACGTGCTAAGAAAGAAAAATAAAGCAGGAAAGTGGGAAGGAAGTGAAGGAGCCAGCAGGGGGAAGTCTGGGGGTCAGAGACAGAGAGAACAGCAAGGGCAAAGGCCACGGACGTGAAAGCCACCTGCTCAAGACAGGAGAAGATGGGAGAGCAGAAACGAAGAAGGCGCCTCGGACATTGGGGACACCATGGAGCCGCTGTTTGTTCTGGATTGTCTTCTGGGCTTCTCTGTAAGTCATAAAATTAACCCCTATTGAATTAAGTCATTGGAGATGAGTTTCTGCTGGATGTAGCTGACCAGAATCCTTAGTTGATTCATTCACTTATTTTAAAAATAATTTTTTTAAGTGGATTGCTGTAGTAGCAATTGTTACGTTCTTTGGGGAGAGCAATTTTCAAAAGCCTTAAAATAGTTTTACTTTTTGGTCCAGTGATTCCAACTCTAGAAATCTATCCAAAGGAGATAATCTGAAATGAAAAAATTATGCACAATATGTTGTGAGCTGAATTGTGTCCCCACAAAATGCATATTTTCAAGCCCTGATGCCCTCAGAATGTGACTGTGTTTGGAGATAGGGTCTTTAAAGAGGTAATTGAGTTAAAATGAGGTGTTAGGGTGGGCCTTCATCCAATCTCACTGGTGTCCTTAGAAGAAAAGGAAATTTGGGCACAAAAGGAGACACCAGGGATACACACGTCCACAGAGAAAACCACGTGAGGACACAGCAAGAAGGTGGCCATTTGTAAGTCAAGGAGAATGGCCTCAGGCCCAGCCCTGGTGGCCCAGTGGTTAAGTTCGGCACGCTCTGCTTCAAGGCCTGGGTTTGGTTCCCGGTGTGGACCTACACCACTCTGTTAGCAGCCATGCTGTGCTAGTGGCCCAAATCCTAAAAAATAGAGGAAGATTGGCATGGATGTTAGCTCAAGGCAAATCTTCCTCAGCCAAAGAAAAGAAAAAAAAAAAGGAGAAAGGGCTCAGAAGAAACCAAAACTTCCAACACCTTGATCTTGGACTTCTAGCCTCCAGAACAGTGAGAAAATAAGTTTCTGTTGTTAAGCCACAATCTGTGGTATGATGGCAGCCCTAGCAAACTAATGGGCAACAATTTTTTCTAGAAGTGTATATTATATACGTATATTGAAAATAGAGAGAAATTAGAAATAGCCTAAAACTGCATAAATAAGGGAAAGGATATTATACAGTCATCAAAATGCTAAGGCTGTATGGAAAAAACGCTTACAAGATAATGTTTAGAGAAAAAGCAAGATACAATTATGTATATACCTATATCTGATAAATATATAGGACCTTAACTATTTTAATGTACTCCCACAGAGTAGACTTCAGAAAGGAAACTATATCATCTAGACTGAGGATCTGGTTCTTGGTCTCAAGTGCACGTATTATATGGATTAAATTCCTGCCCAAATATTCAAAGCGGCGGGTTAAATGCCATTCTGTACTTCGTCCCTTAGCTGGCCCGCAGGGTGACTAAAACCTTTTGTTCTTTTCTCAGAGAGGCCAGGCAAGGGAAGGCATGTCTCGCAGCCCTCTGGAAACTCTCCTTTGGGTTGTGGCATCACGGACACCCGCCTAAGCAGCAATGGGGACCACCATCCCACGAAGTCTGAAGGAAGGCCTGCACAGTCAAACGTTCCTTCTATCCACGTGGGAAATGTTCTCAGAGAGAACCAGCGCTCATCTCCTCTTTCTCCCATGCACAAGCATACCCTTTCCTTCCCCAATTTAACTCATGCCTCTCCTTTGACTTCAGATACCCTATGTGTTGACAATTCCTAAATATGTATCTTTAGCTTGGACCTTTCTCCTTAACTCTCGATTCCCATGTCTAATTGCTTCCTAGTGTGCTACCCCTGAATGCCCTAAACTTGATATTCCTAAGACTGACCTCATTGATTGTGCCTTATAAATCTCTCTGCTGCATTCCCTCTCTATAAAGGATAACCATCTACTCAGTCACCCAAGCCAGAAATCTAAATGTCATTCTTACTCCTCCTCTCTCTCACCACCCACATCCATTTAGTCATCAAGCCATATCAATTCTCACTGCTTCACATCTCTTTATTCTGTCCCCTCCTCCCCATTCCCTGCCTTAGTTCAGGCCCTTATCAGCTCTTGTTTGATGTGTCATCATTCATTCATTCATTCAGGTCTAGGGACATGTTGGTGAATAAGACAAGGATGACCCTCCAAGAAGCCATGGAGAAGCAGACAGGGCCCTTCTGGGCAGTGATGAGAAGCCTGGAGTTTCTTTTACTCTCTTGGGAGATTTTGAGCAGGAGAGTGAGATGTCTTCCTGGGCCTGCTCCTCCAGTCCTTCTTCAGTATGGCTTCCAGGTTGATCTTTCTATAACAAAAATCTGATTATGTCTCTCTGTGCTTTTAAAAACTTTCAATGGCTCCCATTTGCCTACAGAATAACACCCAAAATCCTTGGGCTGGCCTGCAAGGCCTTTCATGATCTTTCCTATGTTTCTCTCCATTCTTATTCCTCCCTGTGCCTCCTTATCCCCTTTGCTTTGGCCGTGCAAAGTGACTTTCAGATCCCCCGATGGCTTCTGCTATTTCACCGCTGTATCTTTACTCATGATTCGTCTCTTCTGAGCACAGTGTTCCCTACCCCATCTTCAAACAAAAATCTACTCATCTTCCAAGACAAAGATCAAATGTCGCCTCATCTGTGTCGTCTTTCCTGATCACTGCCCCCAAATAGAAGAACCAGTCCCTCCTTTGTGCCCTTGGTATGCACTGGATGAACTTCTAGTGTAATCCCATTAACACTATGGCACTTCTCAGTTTACAGGCATCTTCCCTTGTTCACATATGACCCTCTCTTACTCATATTTGTTCCCAACCACTTAGCATAGATCTTGGAATACTTTGTTGTATAAAGAGAATGAGTTTCCCTCCGTTTTGCATATTTAGAATACACATGACAGTTCTGCCAAAGGAGTAGGAGCCCAGATGCTTGAAGCTCAGGAAGAATTTTAATGAAAATGTCAGATGAGACTTACAGCAGATCTACCTGTCTTGAGCTATTAGTGTCCCCACCATTTGCTGCATCATCATGTTGATCCTCCTTGGTAAGGATGGAATGGGGAAAGAGTTTGAGCAGGTAAAAATATCTATGTGGCAGGGGTTGTTTTGAAACCTATTTACTTGTCAGGCTCCTCTAAGCGTTCTGGACTGTGCACATCACCACACGTCTCTGCAGTGCGCACACCATCACACACGGTACCAGGGGGTCCATCAGCTAGTCCGTGCAGCACCATTGGACACTGAACTCATCACTTTCTAATTTCCTCTAAGTGTTCCGCACTGTGGAGTGTAGGCTGGGGAGAATAAAGGACTAAACACTTGTTCCCTATAGTTGGGGAAGGGAGATCATGACTACATTCATAGAAGACACTAATTGATATTTGTCAGTTGACACACTGATATGTGAGACGTAATTAGAAAGTGACCTAGGACTGTATGATCAAATGCTGGATGGTATGTTACAGGCAGTAAGTGCTGTAGATTTTTTTCAGGGTCTCTTAACCTTGATGCCGCAGGTCAATATGTGGCTTCTACCAGCTTGTGTCTGCTTATCATAGGCTGGGCCACAAATGAGGATGAACCAGAAGAGAATCAGGAAGTGACTGCCCAGCACTCAGAGTAGTTTCCCTGCTACATAATCAACGTGCTTGCCACGGACTGAGAAATACATTCGGAACGCGTGCCCGTCCTGCCTTTTCAGCAGCTGCGTCTCAGAAGAAGGTGAGCGAAAATTGACCTGGAGCAGCCTGGAGGTTGCAAGCTTTGCTGAACCCTGGGAAATATATATGGGACCAGAGCTGTCTGTGCATTCTGCTGTCCAAGGTCAAGAGAACTGTTGTCACAGATTACTTTTTTATGAGTTCTCACTGAAAAAAGGCATAATGGGCTACCAAAGGCAAATGTGCTTCTCATGAAGAAGACCAATGCTAGTAAATTTTCTTGCTCCCTAAACAGCTGCAGCTCCAGCAGCTTCACCAAGAAGACATCATGGCCTGCGCCAGGATCGCAAGTAGCTGTACTCAGGAGAGGGCAGCTGGCTGGAGCTCAGATGAGATGTAATCATTACCAGTTTCTGAAGAAAGATTTGAAAACTTTACATCAAACTAGAGGTTATGATGGCTCACCCTTCCACAAGTCCCATTTGCAGTGACTTCACTCCGTCTTATGCAGCAAGCAATGTGCAGCTTCTTGGTGAAGTTTAAGTCAGTGTTTCTCCTCACTTAATGGTACAAAATTTCAGTTGACTTTTGTTGTAGCTTTCCATACGTTTACTTCTTGACTCACCAATCTAATTTGATACATAAGACACAATGTCTTCAGAGCAGCCTATGCAGTTTTGCACACAACACTCTCATACTAAATATCTTTGCTTGACCAACATATGGAGTTTTAGCTTTTTAGATGACAGTGAGACATTTCCTACTGATTAAATATCACCTAATAGAGAGTCCATATTCACATAGTTCCAATTGCACACAAAAAGTTCTTTATTGCAGTTTTCAGCTGGTTTTTACCTCTGAACCTCTGAGACAAGAGTTTCTTATATTCCCATTTGCTGGATCACAATTTTCTTTGTTTTTTTTTTTTCCTTTCCTTTTCTTTTTTTTTTTGGTAAGGAAGATATGCCCTGACCTAACATCTGTTGCCAATCTTCCTCTTTTTGCTTGAGGAAGATTGTTCCTGAGCTAACATCTGTGCCAGTCTCTATTTTGTATGTGGGATGCCACCACAACATGGCTTGATGAGCAGTATGTCAGTCCACACCCAGGACCCCAAACCACGAAGCCCAGGCTGCCCAAGCAGAGCGTGCGAATTTAACAACTACACCACCAGGCTGACCCCGTTCTTCTTTAATCTTTTCTTCTTCAGAGGTAGAACTTGTGTCTTCAAAGGCAAAGGAGGAGTTGAATTCTATAGCTCTTCTCTGTGGATAAGAGCTAGCACAATTTGTCAAGTCTATTGTGTAGCCAACGCAAAGCCCCGTCTCCAATGCGGGTTTCAAGTGAGGTGTGGGGGAGGCAGGCAGTGTTCCTATCCTTCCTCTGAACGTCAGCTGTAAACACAAACTCACTCTGGAACTAAGACCCTAAATCTTGGTTCTAAAAAGTAAAACAAAGCTATTGATAACATGTGTGACTACATCCCAATTAGCTAATTTGTTTTTTGATTAGCTGCTTACGTTAGCCACATCACCCCAAGTAATCAGGTCTTTGCTTTCTAACATAAGCTTAGTGGTAGTCTTTGGGTAAGTCACTCCAAGTTTCACTTAAAAGGGACCAAGAAACTCAAAAACTGAAGACAGAATTAGACACACCAGCTCCAAAAATTATGTACCCCAAATTCAGCTTTGGTTAGTTGGCATCTCCCCGCCCCCATCTTCCATAATTAAAAATTTGGAGTGTGCGTGTGCACTAGATGATTCATCCACGCTGCTCTGGAAATTGTCTCTGGTGGTGACAGGAAAGCTGATCCACCCTCTGCCCTCCCCGCTGTGGGGTGGAGATGCAGAATATCAGCTCTGCGGCACTGTCACCGGCGCGTCGTGGCCTTCTTTATTTAGGTACAGCGCTCTTAGGCATCCTGCTCCCACCGGAGCTTTTCATCTTCTGATCACATTTCCCCATCGTCTCCATCTGCCTTGACACCCAAAGTGTGCGTGCCCTAAAAGAGGGTGAGGACCCCAAGATCCCTAGGGTCCTTGGAACCCACAGAACAGGCGCCTCCCACAAATGGTGTCCTCGCTCTATGGTCTGCACATCCAAGGAGATTACATACTATTTTCCAGCTTTATCGGTGTGAGAGCCTGGCTCTCTCTTCCTGCTTCTCTAAGATTCTCCTCTGCAAAGGTGCCAAAAATTCATTTTCTTTGAACTTTCAGTAATTCTGATGCTGATTATATTAACAGAGATTCTGAAACTTCTGGTGGTACCAGCTCTTGGGTTTCTTTTTACAACATTTGGGGGGCACATCTGTGTTCTGAAGTTCAGGCTGACCACCCTAAAAGCAAGAGTACTTCTGTGGAAATCGCCCTTTTCCCCTCCCTTCTCCAGGCCCTCTCTAGATTTTCACTTTCTGGAGGAAAGCCAGACTTTTTTTTTGCTTTTCTCAGCTGTAGATTTTCAAGTTAGCCCCAGCAGGCTTCCAGCCCTCCTTCCTGCCTCTCTCTTCTTTCTTTCCCCTCCTGGCTCCTGTTCAACGACTACAGCTCTCCAGGAGTATTTATGGACCAGGGTGTCTATTGTGACCTTGTGATGGCACTAATCCCTCGGCTTGAGGCTGCTATGCTCTGACAGTCACAAGGGTGACTGGGGGTGGAGCGGGGAGGAGGATAGTGCATCATCCAGGAGTGGTGTGGGTATTTATAGAAAAGGCCTCTTCCTTTCCTTTCTGGAGTTGTCTGTAATGCGGCAGATGCCGTATCCTCAAAAACTCCCCCTGGGATATGATGATGGAGACCCAGTGCTCCAGAGGGAAAGGCCAGTGTTCTTGGAGTCCGGGCACGAAGGGCTGCTACCCCCACCTCCATGGGACAAACCCAAGGAAGCCACAGTTGCTAGGGATGATCGACCACTGAGCAGTATGACTTCCTCAGAGCCCCAGAGGTGCGTCCATATGCTCCTGCCTGGGGACACCTGACTCAGCCGCCTCGGGGAGTGTGAGTCAAATTCCTGGGAAACTCTAGCCTCATTCTGGCAGTATTTGGGGTCTGGCAGGCCTGACAATCCCTTTGGAATGTTTGAAAAGCAGTCTGGGAAATTGTTGTTAGAGTAAGAAAGAAGACAGATGAAAGGAGGCCTGACTTTGGATGTCTTGTAGAACGGAATTGCCACTAACTGGATTAAGAAAAAGGAGAGAAAAAAATCAGGACTTTGAGAAAGGAGTGAGACTGAAGGCCATCTGAGTAAAGCTGGAGGAGGCCTCTTGGACTGACCGGGCACAATGTAGTGCATGGTGATATGCTGCCTTGGGTAACTGTGATTGCGTCTTGGGTTCAAGTTCTGACTCAACTAGACTGTCAATCACTTGAGGGCAGGAACCTTAGGGCACAGAGCTGGGTGCAAAATCAGTGCTCAGTAAGCCCTGCGAGTTCTCATAGGTGGATTCTTACAAGGGACTATTATTAGCATTAAAAAGGTTTTTAGAAGATCATGATGATGATGATGAGGCTCACCCTACTGAGGCTGGAACCCTGTGACTTTTTTCTCTTCTTCTGCCTGGAGAGTACAGAGCACATGGTAGGTTTTCAAAATCATTTGCTAGGTTTTTATCAAATAAATGATGATTATAATAGTTCCATGTCTGTCACATGGAACTTCTAACCTGCTTAGTAGTGACTTTGACTAGACTTGAAACTTTTCTTTCTCTAAAAAAAACAAAAAGAGAGTCTTCTGAGCCTGGCGGTCTGTCCTCCCATCTGGCCCCTTGGAGTGCGTGATACTGTGAACGTCTTAAACTTCAGCCTTGCGTCAGAGCCACCAGGGGAAATGGTGAAAACACTGTAGCTGGGCCTCAGAGTTCCTAACTCTGTGGGTGTGGGGTGGGCCTCAAGAATGTGCATTTCTAATGTTTTCGTGGCTGCTACTAGTCTGGGGCCCACACTTCTGAAACACTGCCATAAGGGTGTGTTAGAATTATCTCGTGTTCTCCTACCTGGAACTTTACGGGAGGACTTCAGAAAAGCCCTAGGAGCTGTGGGTGTGGAGAGGCCCTCTGTCGAATTCTTCTCAGAGGGATGATGGCTCCACCTCTGCACAGGGTCCACTTTCTCTAGAATTTAGAAGTTGCTAAAGTGGAACAAAGGTTGCTGAGAAACCGCTTGGGGATCCCAATCTAATTTGCCTCCAGACGCACCCCTCTGCCACTCTATTCTCCTCTCTCCAGCCCAGGTGACCTCTCTAAATTAGAAATCTGATCATCTCAGTCTCCTGCTTAAAAGCCTTCAATGGCTTCCCATTTCCTCTGGCGTGAAGTCCAAACTTTGGGATGCCTGAGCCTTTTCACAAACCCTTCATGATTTGACCCCTTCAACTTGGGGTCCTGCCGCTCCCCGAGTACCATGTCTCCCAGAGATGACCTCTCTCACCCTGATCCTCCGCACAAGTTTTCCCTGGGCCTACAGTGTTCTTCCCGGTCCCTTCTCACTGCATCCTACCCACAGGGCATCCCTCAGTGCTTTAGTCTCAGGCTAGCCCCATCAGACTACGGAGCGACCAGGACTGGCCTTTTGAATCCCTAATATTTAGCATACCGCCTGGATTGCAGAAGGAGCTTGGTGAAAGTTTGTGGAATGAATGGAAATTGCTGAAGACTCAGCGATAACAGATCAGGCTTATCACTAATTACTTTGGAGACTTTTTGATACAAAACAACAGAGTTAAAAAAAACAACAACAAAACCGTGGGGTAGAGGGTGGGGAGGGGAGGGTTTGCAGGGAGTGAATGGAGAGAGCGGTGGGTGAAATTACCACCATTCCCTTTGTCACCTGCGGTAAAACTAAGTCCTCCAGCCTTTGTTTTCTAAAGCACAGCGACAAAGTGTGTTCAGAAGCAAACAAATGCAGGTTTAGAGGCAGGACTGTAGGACTTGGCCGCCGTGGGGGAGGAAGTCGGAGGTTTTAGGGGGCGGGGAGAAGGAGCGTCCTGAAGCGACGGAGCTGGTGGCGAGTGGCCTACCTGCAGGCCTCCACTCGCACTCTGAGCTCCCCTCTCTCTGGCTGGATGGCAGCATCTTTCTCATTCCCTTTTCATTTGATGACCTTAGATGGTGACAAGTTGCTTCATGGTCTGGATTCCGTGTGATGCCTGGGGACATTAGGCTTCTCGTTCAGTACTTAGTACATAGATCAACTTCATTTTTGAAGCGATTATTATACTTACAAGGTTGACTCATATGACATAGGATCAAGTTTATAAAATGAGAACTAGACTGGGAATCGGGAATCCTGGCTCCTCTCTCTCCTCCAGCGACGGGCTGGCTGCTTGCAGTTGGGCGGTTGTGTTTTCAACTTCCTTCACTGCTGAGGCTGTGCTTGTTAGGACTGCCCACTGGGGTTTATTTATGACCCTTTCCAACCGACCGCATCGTTGTTTTCCATTCCTAAGATCGCGCCTTAGACAACTTGGACCCGCTCTCTAAGTTCTCTTGGTGATATCACTCCGCGAACTCCCATGGCCAGGAAAGTCTGATAAACAAAAGCAACCCCAGAGGGAGTTTCTCAAGATCCAAATGTTTGATCTCAACTCTGGCTGAATTTATCAGCTGAAACTACCATTGACAGAATATTTCTGGCTGACCTCTCTGCCCTCCGCACCCGCCACCCCCATTCTGAATACTGAGCTGCTCAGCCCTCCTATTAGCATCTTCACAGATCCCTCCCCTGGGACAAGCGCCTATGTTCTTCCTGGAACCAATTTAAACCCAAAGGAGCCTTAAAAAATATGTTTAATAGTTGGAGACGATCCTTCTACTTTTAAATTCTTAGCTCATGCCCTCTGGGAATCAAGTGACATTTAGATTCCGGTGTGTAAGCTGTTTTTTCTTTAGATTAGCTTTTGTGTAAACATTCCTCTGCAAATTATTTTCGAATTTTAAGGCGACTTCTTTCAAACGTCCAGTCAGACTGATTCC